CTCCTCGCGCCGGGCCGCGTTTCCTTTGTCGTGCCGGCCACTAGCCCCGCCAGCCAGGCGCCTGCTGCCGGCCAAGCGCCCGCGCCTCCGTAGCCGTCACGCCTACTGCGGCCTCCTGCGCCTCCGCCGCCGACGCCGCGCCCACACTGCCACAAAACAAATCTGGCGGCGGCGACACCGGATCCAGCCGCAATGGGGCTAGATCCAATGGTGGCGGCGCCGAATCCGCAGCCACGTGCCTCGCCGCTGCGCTGCGCCGCCCCTTCGTGCCAAAGACGGGACGCACCGCAGGGGATTGGAGCCTCACCACTACCATCCCGGCGGGCCGCGCGGTTTCCTGTGACACGCTTCGGCGGTGGCGAGGCGGGGGAGAGGAGGGGAGGGTGGCGGCGGCCAGGGGCTAGGGTTCGCCCCCGATCGCTTTTGCAAGGGCGACAGGGAGTGCGTCATTGAGAAGGGATACATTTCTTGCGTTGAATTTTCCCTTAATAATCTTTTTAATGGTTTTTACTATAGTAGAATCCATCTAGGCCGTTGATTTTTTTTTTCTAATTCAATGAATCATATCTAAGTTATAAATCAATGATTGAGATCGCACCTTTAAGGATAATATTGACCGTAGAATACACCCGTAGAGACCGCTGTAAAATTACTCTTAAAAAATTATATTCATCACCCGAAAGTGTGCATAACACCGTCAAGAAAGATCATCTAGTTCTCTACCCACCTTTATGAGATAAACATATAGTTGCGATGTTCAGACAATCAGAGTGCATAAATATCAAGAGATGCACAGATTTTCGATGTTCAGTCAGCCAATCGAAGTGCATAAGTGTTGAGTTCATCTACACAGATTTTCCATATTCAGGCAGCCAATCTAAGTGCATAAATGTGAGTTCATGTACGCATTGTGAAATCATTGTCATGATTAATATTTTGTGATGAACAATTGGCTTTGCAAATAGTTTGTTCAATGAAAATTGGTTTGGAATTATATGTGGATATTGGTGTGAGCGTGTGTGACTAATGTGGGTCATGTTGTGATATTTGTGTCCAGAAATAGTTGTTTTGTCTGATTGTGTGCAAGTGACTTGAAGTCGGCCTTAGTCAATGGTAAGGATTAGGACTATACTCACGGAAGAGCATAGATCTAGCACGGTCGTAATACCATGTGAAAAGTGACTAGAGTCAGAATTCTTAGAGATCAACTTTGGTCAACGGTAAGATCGAGACTAGGCTCAGGGAGGAATTAAGGTCCAAATGATAAATGATACTAAGGGATAAAGTTGGATACGAGATGCCACACACGGTTGATAGACACCGTGTTAAAGAGATCTTCGCAACGGGCTTCACGAGATGTCCGTGCAAGCGTCGGTTTTCGCGGAGGAGGTTGGAGGTTGGAGAGAGAAATTGTTGGAGTATATGGTCGGGTACTGTAGCGGTGGTGCTGTGCCATGCAGTGTGCTGGTTTTGTGTAGGCCCGGGCAGCAGGAGGCTCAGCTGGCCCATGCGGCAGGAAGGAAGCAGCAGGCAGTAGCGCAAGGGAAACGTACAAGGGCGACGTGTCGTCACCGGATTGGCGAGGAGTCCTGTTCGGATTCATTGTGGCTGGCTGTGTCCGCGGTGTTTTGAGAGAACACAATTTTGGTAAATTGTATATTTGGTTTGGAATATGAGGGATTGAGTACTACTGTAAGCATGTAGCAGCAGCCGGTATAACATAGACTGATCGACGAAGTAAAGAGCAAGTAAAGGGAAAGTTTGGGTGTTCAATCGATTATCGTGGAGACATGCATGGGAATCGGAGGCAAAGAGCAAGGAATTTTTCGCTCTCCCCAGTCTCTACTGCCCAGCAAAAATCAGTACATGCAAAAATAGTGGTTGCAATGTTCAGACAACCAGAGTGTGTAAATATTGAGATAAACACATATTTGTGATGTGCAGGCAATCGAAGCCCATAAATATTGAGATCATGTACGGCTATACCTTGTTTGGTCATTTCTAGATGTAAATAATGAGCCAAATTTCCACTATATATCGTTGGCATATCAATACCAGTATCATACTGTACATAATTTTCTATCGGAGAAACCAGTGCCACTAGCCTACACTAGCAGAGCACAAAACTAGCTAAAATACATGGTACTTCGCTAGCAATTATGGAGCAAGAAACTAGAGAAAGAAGTGAAAATCTTTAGGAATTTGGTATTGAGATCGGCTATGGGAACAGGAGGCAAAAGGGAATGAACCAAGAGTTCATCAAACCTCATGCATTCTTGCAGCGGCGGATCCGAAAGACTAAAAGAAAGGGCTAAGCAAACTAGATGAAACTATAATCCCTTCTTTTGATGGATGTATGATAGATAGAGGGGCTTAATGGGAGCTCCCATGGTTACGACACTGGTAGTGTGTGTTCGAGATCCCGTAGCCTCTATGGTGGATCCACCATGCATTCTTGGGCACCAAACTTCCTGATGCAAAATAAGAACATGAGTACTTGATTTCTATACTGAAGTTGTGGCAAGAAAATTGATGCTTCCCTTTTTCTTTTTTAGTTAGGTGGATGGATATGAGAGTCCTACATTTTCGATGTTGGAAATGGGAGATGATCTCCTCTCTGTTCCATAAGGAGAGAAAAAACCGTAGTATATAGTAGTACTAGATCGATCATCAGCTACTCACCAATAATGAGTAATTGATCGGTATTTTTCTTGTTTCTTTTTGGGAAATCGGCTTAGTGACAATTAATTAATGAGTGAGGTGTAAGGAAGAGAATTGGCATGGAAGTATGCAACTACTAAACAACACTCAAAGTATGCCAAAGTATGAAAAAGAGTAAAGTGCATTGGTGGTTCTTAAACTTATAGGATTGTGTCATAGGGTTGTGTCATATAGGTCCCTAAATTCTCAAAATGCATATTCAGGTCATAGAACTTGACAAAGTGTATTATCTAGGTCCCAAATTAACACGTCCCTTTTAGGGATGTGGCAATGCCACATGGACGTGACGTGTCCTTTTCTTTTTTTTTCTTCTTTTCTTTTTCTTTTTCGTTTTCTTCTCATTCTTCTTTTTTTCCTTTTTTTTGCACGGGTCGCATAGAAAGGTGAAGAAAGGGGAAAAAGAGAAAAAAAGGAAAAAAATAAATGGATCCTATTTGTCAGTCAAAATAATATCATGTCATGTCCGTATGGTATGCCACATCAACGTCACGTAAGATCCTGAAGGGGTTGTGGTGATTTGAGACCTAGATGACACACTATGGCAAGTTTTGAGACTTGGATATGCATTTTGAAAGTTTAGGGACCTAGATGACATACTCCTACAAGTTTAAGTACCGCCCGTACACTTTACTCTATGAAAAAGAAGAACATTCTGCTATTCGATTTTAATTGTTTAGATGAGGCCGTATGGATTTTAATTATATTGACACGTATTATAGCAGACCAGTGCATGTTCCAATTCACTAAGTAAAAACATACTAAGACTTTTGGTCATCCACGTGATAAGTCAGGATTTTAGTTGAACTAATAGTATGGTATAAAAAAACATAATATCATTTTAGACAAACGTGGTAGTTGAGGGATAATATATATGAACTTATCATTATATACAATTATTAATACAATTGATCCATATACACTACAGGGAATTCTATTTCCCGCAACAAAAATTTCCATTGCAATAAACTTTAATTTGGTGCAATATAGGCATACTGCAAATTCTGAGCTGTTGCTTTGAAATGTAGTAATATTGTAACGATTTCACCATGCTATTGTAACAGCTAATAATGTTACAAAAAATATGTATCGCAACAATTTCACCGTGCGCCCCTCCTGCGGCCATCCGGAGGCCGGATCTGCCGCTCGCGCCACTCCTGCGACTGAATCCTCCATCCGCGCCGCTCCAGCGACCAAATCTACCGCCCAAGCAGTTGGGTTGCTGTTGTAGTCACCACCGCGGAGTCGCTATCGCTGTCGTCACTGTGGCCGCCGTCGCCTTTAGGGACGTGGGGGTGGGAGGGGGTGGGGTGGGTGGGTGGAGAAGAATGGAGTCGATCGGTGCAGTTGGTGTGGATTTATAATACAGTGATACTTATTTTTGCAGTTAGTACTCCTTAGCAGCCGCCAATTTTCGTTGGTTGTCACTTAAGAGGTCCGCTTGTACAATGACCTTTATTTTTTTTTCAAGCGGTTCTCTTAAGTGTCAGGCAATAAAAATTGGTTTCCGCTGGTGGTTGGTGACCGGAATCACTCTCAAGTATTTTTACAAGCATGTGTTCATTAAACCCGCCAGTAAATATAAAAGGATAGTGCTATGAAAAATGATTTTGTACTAGTGGTTGTATTTCTCGGGTGGACGATTGTCGGAGTTTATCTCTAACACCTACATAGATCGGCTGCGTGTTCTTAAAAAAAGTCCAATTGCTGTAAGATTTCAAAGAAAAAAATTCCAATTATTGTAGAACCATAGGAATTGGAGACAACTGGAAAAAACTCATCGCCCGCCCCGCTCATCCCCACGCTCTTTCGTCCAGAGAAACTCAGTACATGCATTAGGTTTCTCTCTCTGCATAATTTTGTAGCTGTGCCTTGTGTTTTTTTCGCGAACGCTAGCTGTGCCTTGTGTTGCAGCATATATATATGATTTAAAAGAAGCTGCTGCATCTGGACAAAAGTTAATTAACATGAAGGGGGACTGGAATATGAAGCTTGTACCACAACTAAAATTTTTTTTGATGAAGATGAAGTTGTGCTGATAATATATCAAGATAAGGTAGCAGAATTCAAGGTGATAGTTAGTGAGGATCATTTCAACCTGGATGAAAAAACAACTTCCTGTTCTTGAATTCGTGCCTAATTTGAACAATTGAAGAAATGGTCTGACATATGATCCAACTGTATTAATGGTATAGTTGATTAATTGGTATGTTATCAATTCCGTTGTTACTAGCACGAACTACCTCTTGCTATGTGAATGATTTCTAAAATCAAAGGTGTTATGTTACAAATGTGAAATGTCCACATGTATATATGTATGGGGTTTTTCAAATTTTAGTCAAACAAGTTAAACGGATGACAAAATCCGCACAATATTTATACATTATTGCAATGCTGCAAGCTATTCGCTACCCATGTATACATCAGCTTTTCATCACCAAGTTACAAACATTACCATACAACGATAGGCATTGGCATGTTTGCCCTTCAACATTCATACTCACCATGGTTTATAATTAATTCCCAATTCCAAAGTATGATCTTGCATCATAATCAGCCCAAACTAGACAGAAAATCTAACCGGAAGTTTGATTGAACTTCACATGGCTACAGCTATCTAAAGCATTTCAATCTATGTGCTCTCAATCAGGTTTAGATCTTGTTGAGCATCTCAACCACTTCTTCCATGGATGGCCGGTGCTTAGGGCTCTCCTCCGTGCAACGCCGTGCCACATCCAAATACGCTATCATTTCATCTTGGTCAGCCTCTCTCCCTTCCCATTGGATCCCCATCTGACGGTCCAGGATCTCCAATGCCTGGCCCTTGTCTACCTTATCCCTAGCCCATTTCAGCATCTCTACCTCTTTCCCTTTCATGTTGATCTTCACCGGCCAGCTTGGTCGCCGGCCGGTAACCATTTCCATCAGTAGCACGCCGAAGCTATACACATCTGCCTTTACGCTCGTGCCTACGCCAGCACGTAACTCTGGTGCCATGTACCTACAATCCATTTGATCAAATATTGGTCAACAGGGCCAAATATTTGTAAAAAGAATAAGCATATATGAAAAACCATATTCTAAAAGGGTACTTCATTGCAAGGTATTGAAATGCGACGGCAACAGCTCAATTATCATGGTTATCAACCTTATCAAGCCAATAAATATTTACAAACGGCTCGATAAATCGGTCAAGTTCAATAAAAAATCAAACCAAAATCGAGATCAATGTGAAAAAAAATTATCTGAATTCAACTGGTTATCATCGATAACTGTTGCACGGTTATCGACCAAACCACTAGGGATCGGTTTTCGATGACGAACCACATTTGCAAACCATAGTTTCTAATAAGTCAAAATTATTTTTCTAGCACCGAAAGTTTATAACTACATAGAATCATAAGATCCTGATTCATTTTGATAGCACCCAAAGTTTCCAACGTTCTCAAAATAGCATTATGTTAACACTATCGTTATCGAAGTGCTATATATACTTCTCTGAAACACTAAAAAAATAGTGGTGGTGAATAGTGAGCCACAGTGACACGAACAATAATAAAACGAATTCTATAAGGAGCATTTATACTGTTGGAATTCTTGGATTAATATTTGAGACAATAATGGTACTATGATTCTTTCTTTTAAATTCGTTGGAAGGCACAGGCATTCAACTAGTATATGAACTATTGGCCATAGAAGCAATTTTGGCTTGTAGTAAGGGTGCAATCGATTAAATTACCCGGCGGTGCCGGCGGCCTGCGTGCTGAGGTGTGACTCGGCGGCGCCGCCGGCGGCGATCCTGGCTAGGCCGAAGTCGGCGAGCTTGGCCTCGAAGCCCTCGTCGAGCAGGACATTGCTGGCCTTGATGTCGCGGTGGAGGATGGCCGTCTCGTTGCCGTGGTGCAGGAACGCGAGCGCCGCCGCGACGCCGCGGGCGATGCGGAGGCGCGCCGGCCAGGGGAGCTGGCCGGCGGCGCCGGCGGCGTCGCCGTACAGCCACGCGTCGAGGCTGCCGCGCTCGAGGAGCTCGTAGACGAGGAGGCGGTCGGCGCCGGCGGCGCAGAAGCCGAGGAGGCGCGCCAGGTTGGGGTGGCTGAGCGTGCCGAGCACCTCCAGCTCGGCGCGGAACTCGCGGTTCCCCTCGCCGCCGGAGGCGTGGTCGGCGGAGAGGCGCTTGACGGCGACCCTGGCGCCGTCGGGGAGCACGGCGCGGTAGACGAACCCGAAGCTCCCGTCCCCGATGATGTTGTCCGGCGAGAACCCGCCCGTGGCGCCGGCGAGGTCGTCCAGCGAGAGCATCTTGAGCGAGCGGTCGCCGGCGTCGCCGCCGCCGCCGTAGAACGACCACGACGAGACGCACTCGCACGACCTGCTGCTCGGCGCGGTGACCGGGAGCGTCGCCGCCGACGACAACGGCTGCAGGCAGCGGCAGCGGGGCTTGACGACGACGCGGTGGCGGTGGCGGTGGCGGCAGAAGAAGGCGATGGCGAGGCAGGGGAAGAGGATGGCGGCGGAGGCGGCGACGGCGACGACGAGGGCCTGGAGGACGCCGTCCATGGCGGGAGAGGGAGAGGGGAGAGGCGGAGGATGGAGAGGGGGTGAGGTGACGTGACGTTCTCGTTGGGTTGGGATGGGGAAGGAGGTGGAGTGAGTCGTCGATGGAGTCAACGGTGTTCGGCATGCTGCGGTTGACTATTTCTTCGGCTGTCACTGCCACACTGTACAGTGTACACCCCTGTCGAGGGAGACCTTGACCTGTGACTAGGCTGGGCTCTTCAGTTAATTTTCCAATTTTCCAAACCTCTTATCTCTTTCCGCAGTCACTTTTTCCAAACTATAATAGATGGTATGATTTTTTAAAAAATCTTCTATAGCAAAGTTGCTTAAAAATATATATTAATCTATTTTTAGCTAATACTTAATTAATTATACGGTAATTCGGTATTTGGTTTTTCGTGTCTGGAGGCAAAGGTTGTGAACCTTACCTCCCAAACTCAATCTAAGACTCTGTTTGGATGAGAAGGGGACTAAAATTAGTCTCTCCCATTCAAACAGCCCTAAGTGACTACAAGTCTCACGTGCCAGCTAAGCTACTACAATCTATAGAAAATCTGGAATCCAAGGGAGAAAAAAAAAGAGATGAGCTAACCTTTGGACCGTAGTTATTTTACATGATTTTTTTAATATATAAAAGTAATTTAATTTATGCAAGATCCTTTTACAATTTCTAACTTCAAAGCGAAGTGAGCATAGTTTTACTGCTTAGGTTACTTGTGGTTGAACCAGCCCGCTCTGATTCAAATCCCAGACTTAACACAAATACCCGTATTTATGGCTAATTATTTTTTAACGGTAAGTGATGTATCCGTCAACAGCGAGATGTTCGTGGTGACTTTGTTAGTTTTAAGATATGCTGGTCGGGTCAGTGTGAGCTCTTTTTGAGCATCTATGTTTATACTGTGTTTCTAAAAAAAATTCTACATACATCAGTATGAAAATTTTGCCACTTCGCGAACCATAAAATTCTATATTTTGAGTTGAGACGCAAAAGGTACACACTTTTATAGCCCAAAAGGTTTGCTTTTATTTTCTTTTTCTGATGTTGCTAAGAATCGACGGGAAGTTTCTAAGGCCTTCAAAGAAGAAAAGCCCACCCCCGTCCCAACTAGCGAGCCCACGACGTCCAGCGACAACACCGGCGACCCAAATCGGACGCCGGCTGATCTCCTCTAGAGTTTGAAATTTTGCGTACCATATTTTTATGATGGCTTTGTTGGGGGGAAATTTGTGCATGCCTTGGTATTTGTAGAATGTTTGTGCCCTGGGAAGTTAGGATTTCGATATTTTGTTGCTTCATGTCAAAAATGTGGATTTCTAATGATGTTTCGAATGAGAAATACTACCTTATAGGAAAACAAATCCAATAGATGGTCTAATTTTCAATTAAGATATGTTTATCTCAATCCGAAGAATGGGTCCATTAAAGATCCTCTGTATTTGCAACAGCTCAGTGGAAAATAAATTTTAGCCAGTTTGTTTGCTTGTCTGAACTGACATCCAAATGGTCTGTAATTAGTTCCCATAATCTCAAAAGTTATGGATCTGTTTGTGGTGTTTTTAGATGTGATATGTTCCAAATGTTCTTTCTTTCTTTACATACTCCCTTTGTCGTAAAATATAGCAACCTAGATTCAAATTTGGAGTACTAGGTTATGTATCTGTTTGCATCTTTGTCTCTCATGTCATGTGACTAATGTGAATGCATTTCTATTCTACATGTGCGGCAAAACAATGGTTTAAGGTCATCAGTTAGATATCAGAGATACTATCCCTGTGCACTAAAGTGCCTTGTCAGTTAGCTGATGATTCTTATTTGCCTTTAAGTACCATCTACACACATGTCAAATTAGAGTTTTGCTACAGGTTTATCGGCATAGATTTAAAGATAATGACATGTCAAGACCTGACAAGGAAAATAAAAGGGATTCAAAAGCACAGGCTGGTGATCTGATGGATGATGGTGGAATTCTTGTCCTTAGATTTCTTCTGCTGCCTCCTTGTCTTCGTGATACAATCAAAAACTGCGGGATCGTCTATGTACTAGTGTGTTAGGTCGTTTTCAAAAGGTAGTGCATAATATTCGCCTTAATTATTGGGAAGTGTTTTTCTCAAGAAGAAATCAGAGTCAGGAAAGTAGTGATGTATAGTCGTATTGGTTGCCCTAACTTAATTTTTAAGATTTTAAATTTTAAATTTTTAAACTTAATTTTTTTAAGATTTTAAGTTACTTTCAACATAGTTTTCTTTTCAGCTTTAACTTTTAAGTCACAACAAAAAACATATATATATATATATAATTTTATCCATAAATTAATTTTTATTTTCTAACAAACCATTTTTGGCTTATTAGGAAATATGGGCAACCAAGAGTCTAAACCGTGCCAAGAATAATACTCTGTTTTTCTATCAGGCGTGTTGATTCCAGAATGTCAAACATCGAAAATTATAACCAATTCTTAGTTAACTTGCCGGTACATCAAGCTCATAAATACTATACCGATATACTCATTCAAATTTGACTTACCTTTACAAAATATTGATTTTTATATCTATTAAGAATATATTGCCTCCGTCTTAACAAGAGTTTCTGCAGTACTACTTTTTTTTTCCTCTTCAACCATTCCTCATTCAAATTTGTCACTCCTACCTACCGTGAACCACTCTTCCACTCCCAACTAGTTTGTCTTTTAAATGAAACAATTACACTGTTTTTTAGATGAAGTATCTGATAAGAAATTGACAGTCGAAGTGTAATCTTTTCTAAAATAGAAGTTCTCAGGGAGAACGTCAAATCGTATCAAAGTTCAAACTCATTTCTGACGAACTGTCGAAGACAACGTGAACATCCCCTGTTTCCGTGGCACTGCAGTCTCGGTTCATCGTTCTGAAGAAAAGCTGGTAGCAGTTTTGTTTTTTTATTAAAAAAAAAGTTGCCAGCTCGTTCATTCATTCAGGAATCAGGACAGGAAAGGGAACAAATAGCTGAACCAAAAACGGTGAGAGAAACGAAGTGGAGGCATAATGTGCATTCAGACTGACAAAAAGACCCCATTTGTTCGTTTGATGGGGTTTCTTGTCAGATTCCTTCATTCCTTATTCCGAATTCCGATTCCCCTCCTTTCGCCGTTTTTACTCTCAACTTTTGATGACAAAAAGCCCATGTTCCATGTCGGCAAACTCCACAATACCTTTATCCTACACATAGAGTTTCAGAGTTTCAGCTAATAAACTCAGGGAATATTAGTTTCAAATGTATTGCAATTATTGTAACCATGTTAATTAACAGAGGTTATCTAATCATCTAACAAGGCATGCTAGGCAAAAGAGATTCCTGAGGTGATCTGCACCTGCCGAATGTCAACCACAGCCTGCAAAAGTCACAATGAAAGCAGCCTTGAACCCTTGATTAGCCTTGTCATGTAAACCTATCCTTTTGAGACACGTGCGTAAATAGAGGAATCTAAAATAGATATAGCTCAAGGAGCAAAATGTAAAAGTTGCAGGAACATGAAGTAAGTAACAAGCATCTACTGATAAAAAAAAAAGCAACCAATCAAGAAGGAATTAGGTCAAACCCAACTTAATTGTACAGTCAAACCGCCGTAATATAAGCTAGTGTGAAAGTCTCACTGCCAGCATTTCATTGTTTAAAGGAGACAAATTTGCTCTCAAATTCTCCTCCAGTTCATAAATATTTTCTCTTTAAAAACAAATCCTCCAGTCTCAGGTTGTCAGTCCTCTTCACACTGTTTCTACTCTGTTTCACACTAACTGTTCTAGATCATGACCAAGACGAAGCGAATTCGCATCAAAACTGGCCGATAATTACGCAACAAAAAATAAGCAAAAACAATTAAACTAATTATTCAGTACGAACGGAAGTAGACGATGATGAGATAAAGAACAAACAAAAAAAGAAAAGAAAAAAGCGAAATTAATTAGCAGATTCGTTGCACCTCGCCGTCGGCGAACTCACTGTGCAAAAAACGGCGAAATTCTCCGAACCAATACGAGAGAGCGAGAGAGGGGGTAACGAGGACGGCTGGGATTGCGCCACGTGGCAGCCTTCCCCGCCGCCCGCCGCCCTATATAAACTCGTTGCAGATTGCATGGTGGACGACGACTCTAGCTGTCACGTAGCTCGGTCGCCGGCGACGTACGGACGGCGGCGGCGGCCGTGATTTCATGTGCGGTGGTGGCAAGGTGGCGAGCCCGCCGGGACCACGACTGCCGCGGCTCGCCGGCGCCGGCGGCGAGGAAGAAGAGGAGGAGGCGGCGGCTGGAATGCTGTCGAGGCATGGACAGGCGAGGGAGATGTCTGTGATGGTGTCCGCGCTGGCGAGGGTGGTCGCCGGCGGCGGCGGCGGCGAGGCGGAGGAGTGGTGGCCGCCGGCGTACGGCGCGGCGCCGCTGCCACCGTCTACTTCCCCTGCATCTCACGGTAAGGAATTGAAGTGTGCCATTTAGCTTGGATAGATAATTAGATCTTTTCGTGGCAGTATTATTATGTGTTAATTTTGAGTTTAATTAGCATCATTGCGTGTAAAAAGTTAATTGCATGTGCTTAGCAGTTTAGCCCAAGTAGTGTGTGTGTGTTTTTTTTTACTAGTCTCATCCAGAACAGAGCAACTTCATCTGGTAGTTTCGGATTTCCAGTACTCATTTCTAACTTGCATTCCTCGTTTCAATTTGAAAACTATTTCTTTTGTTTTATATATAGTCTTTTGCTGACTTACTAATAGTTTTTTAAGTACTCCATTTCTGCCTTGATGTTTTTTTTTCAGCTATTGTCTGCTTCTCCTCGTGTTTATCAATCTAGTTCTTCACATTTGTCACGTGGAGAGGGTAGAGAGTAATTAGATGGATATATAATGGATGGACGTGGTGGTTAGCAAAGCAAGAAACAATTAGAGAATGGATAATGATTCCAAATGTGCCTAATGATTATCATTAGAACGCATAGTTGCATCATAGTCGGTGAGGTACACACGTTTTTCAGATTAAGTAACAGTGGAATATGATCACGTCACCTTGCAAGAGTAGAACACGTGTGTGTGTTCCTTTTGTCACTGTCCCATTGGGTCCATTTGGTCACCTGCATGTACACCAAACTACCTTTGTTTTTCAAAAGAAAAAAAACACGAATATTAGAAAATGACCTGATATCAAATAAATAGAAAGGGTGAGAATTCAAACCCAGACTAGCTAACCCATCACCTTATGGAGTTAGCCGGAAAATCCCTAGGTGTTTCTCAAGAAAAGGTAAAACATTGTAGTAAAATTTTATTGAACACTATGTTGAAGATCTTGGAAAAAAAAAGAGGGAGCAGAGCTAAAGGAAACATTTGTTGGTTGTTTATATAGAGTAGTACATGGTAATTATTCTGCTTATTCGTCAGATTATCGTTGCAGATTATTTACTCCGATCCATGTCCTTTTAGAATACGATTTTTCAAAATACTTTTTTACTTTATTGTTTAGACCACCTATTCTAATTTATTTGTTAAGTTTATAATGTATAACATTAGCTTTCATCCTCGAACAATGTTGAAAACACCACCTAAGCTAGAGATACGACAAAATTTCAACATAAATTTAGAAATATCTAAAAAATGACTATTTTTAAAATGAATCATAATATATCTCTAATTTCGTTTACCATAGCCTTCAGTACTCTGTTTCGGTTGGATTTTGCAGAGCACGCAGCAGCCATGGCGGCAGGGCAGTACGCGCCGGCGACGTCGTCGGCGATGGCGTCACCGCGCGAGCAGGCCTCCTCGCCGTCGTCCGGCGACGCCGCCGGCGGCGGCGGCGGCGGCGGCAGGAAGCGGTACCGCGGCGTGCGGCAGCGGCCGTGGGGGAAGTGGGCGGCGGAGATCCGCGACCCGGTGAAGGCGGCGCGCGTGTGGCTCGGCACCTTCGACACCGCCGAGGCCGCCGCGCGCGCCTACGACGACGCCGCCCTCCGCTTCCGCGGCTGCCGCGCCAAGCTCAACTTCCCCGAGGACGCCGCGCTCCTGCCGCCTCCGCCTCCGCCTCCTGCGCCGGCGCCGGCGCCGCCGCAGTCGCAGGGGATGGTCGGCGTCGGCGAGGAGTACTCCGAGTACGCCAGGTTCTTGCAGGGCGCCGGCGAGCCGCCGCATTTCCTCGAGCAGATAATGGAGGACTCGCCTCGGCCATCGACGGCGGCCGGCGCGTCGTCGTCGTCGTCGGGGCAGTCGTCGTTTCCGTTGTTCTACAGCTTCGCTGGACATGAGCTTGGCGGCAACGAAGCGAACCTTGCCCGCCCGCCGGAGAGCGGCGGCGCTGGTGGTGACGGTGGGAGGGGCTCCTCGCCGCCGGTGACTTGGCCGGGCTATGGGTGGGGTGCGCCGCCGCCGTGGGACCCATCGAGATAGCGCGCGAACGAAGGATGGGTTTGGAGTTTGGACTATCTCCACTCTCCACGTGTAGCCACTGTAGCACCGCCACGTCTTTTGCCAATTTAAATTTCCCGCCGGAAATTCTCTACACGTTCGTTGATTCATCTTGATTTGTACTCCTACTTAAGTTAAAATTTTGTTAAATTAGAACAAAGCAAGTTTTTTTATCAATTACATGCATGGCAGATTGGCAGATGAAAAGCCGAACACATCACCGCACATGCAACATCACATGGCTGTGAATGCACCCCACAACGTACGTTTAAAGAGACAGAGACTAACAGTATATTGATACGAGAAAAGAAAACAGTTGTAGCCCATCAAACAAATTTTAAATCATCTTATTTTCTCGAAATATCCAGTAGGATTAAGCAATAAGCATCGTTAGTGAGAATTGTATTTATTGATTTTATTTCCTTTATTTGAATACAAGTCAAACGACCTATCTAGGTTTAGCAGACGTTTTTCACTGTTCATACTCTATCACTAATCAGAGTATCAGAGAATGAATTCCTTTCTTTGAATACAAGTCAAACGACCCATCTAGTTTTAGCAGAGGTTTTTCGCTGTTCATACTCTATTACTAATTAGACAATGAGGAGAAATGGAGGTATGAATCCAAGCTTGTCACATCAATGGTGCGGCCGCCGGCGCCGCCGCTGCCGTTTTCCCCGTGCAAATCTCCTCTCCGGTCAAGCGATTACACATAAAAAACCACTCGAATCGTTGTCATTTTTCTTCGTCTTCCGATCAAAATCAAACACGCATTCAATCCGAGAGTCGCAACTCGCGGACTCCATGATAAAAGCAGTGTGTGCTTCTTGTTTTCTGGTCGTCATCTGAAGACAGCGATCGACATGCGTGTATGAAATCTGGACTTCAGTCAGCCAGAAAAGAAAAAAGAAAAACTAAATGCAACATTAGCATTTAAAACTAAATCAGGTTATAGAATGTATTATTACAACTCTATAAAATTTATATTACAACTAAATTGGAGTATTTCGGTGAGAAAGGCTATGCATCTGGTGTATGAACCCGTTTGCCGTCTGACACCGACAGACGAAGGTGAACGAGTTTTCGGCCGTAGTATCGTAAGCAACGACGATGTTAAGAGCAAGACGGTCAAGTTCGCATTTGGAGTCGTGACGAACGCCTGTTTAGCTGGTGAAATGAAAACTTTTGAATGTCACATCGAAACTGGATGTCGGAAGGGTTTTTCGGACACGAATGAAAAAACTAATTTCATAACTTGCTTGGAAACCGTGAGATGAATTTTTTTAGCCTAACTAAACCGTCATTAACACATATGGATTACTGTAGCACTTATACCTAATCATGGATTAATTATGCTCAAAAGATTCGTCTCGTGATTTACATGCAAACTAAGCAATTAGTTTTTCTTTTTATCTATATTTAACTAGCAAAAGTGCCTGTGCGTTTCACCGGGTGATCACGGAGTGTGTACAGTGATAAAAAGTGTTGTTTGGTTTAATCAACTAATCTGCTCAAAAAAAATTTTTGTTTTTAGATAAATAATCTGCTCTATATTTGTGGAATATATATGATGTTTAGTTGGGATGATTTGTAGCATGGGAGAAAATGGATGAACGAACAATGCGATTTTCTTTGCCCAAAAGGCGACGGATAAAAATTTGTATCACAAATGGAAATATTTATTTTTTTATGTAGGTAAGTCTAATAAAATATGAGTGGAATTTTTGTACTAAATGTACTTTGAGTTGCGAGAATATATACTTTTTTAGAAACACGAGCAATAAGATTGACGAAGTTACCACAAACGCCTTGAGCACCCGTCTTAAATCAAAGATTTGAATCTAGGTTGATTGGTTCCTCCACAAGAAACCTATCCAGTTAAATTATACCCACTTTGCAATTGTGGGAATATACCTGTGTATTGTTACCTAAATAAAATGTGTTGAGTTTAACAAATCGTAAAAATCAATCTTATTATTTTTGTGAGAGTAAGTATTGTTTTTTTATTTACAAATTGTATTTGAGGTCAAATATTAATAAGTAGATATAAAAAAATGAAAGAAGATTATAAAGGGAGGGAAAAAAATAAAAAAAGAGCGGATATGGACAAAGAAAAAAAAAAGAGCAGAGGGAACAGGTCAAGATATTTTTAATTGTTTAAACATTTTTAATAATGAGATGCCCGTGCATTGCAGCGGATAAACTAAAAATATAATAAATATAAAAATATTATATGATTAGGATTTAGATTTTATGATATGAGCCCCGTTAGACCTTAGAAATAGAAAAAGTTGTAAGAAAAAGTCCCATTAGACCTTATCGGCCTGCTATTGTGCGCCCAACCCATGAAATACGCGTGGTGCTACGGCCTGATATGGACGCTGGCTCGATCTGAGCCATTTTGTTTTGATGGACGGCTCGAATCGATTCTAAATCCATTAAAACCCTATCCCGAATCACACCTTCCCGGACTGCAAGCTCCTCCTTCCGCTCGGCTCCTCCCCAACCGGTGGCGCCTCGTCCCATCCCCTCCCCTCACCCGACCAGCGGCACCACTCCTCCTCCGCCGCCCCCTCTCTGCCACTCCCTCTCCCCCTCCCCTCCCCTCTTAGCGGCGTCTCTCAATGCGGCGGCTTCCCCGCGGGTAGATCCGGTGGCACCAATGGCGCCGGTTGCTTCCCGCGGTGGATCCGATGGCGACGACAGTGGTAGCAGTTCCCACGGTGGATTCGGCGGCCCCGACAGCTACACGTGTGGCGGCGGCTTCCCGCGCCGGATCCGACGGCTACGACGGTGGCGGCGGCTTCCGGTGATGTTTTATTTTTTTTCCTCTTTCACTTGATTGTCTTATTGGATTTTGTATCTATGTTTGTGATGAATTTTCGCTGAATCACTCGTGCATTTGGTTGTTGATCCGGACTCTAGATGATTTTCTTTTTGTCTTGGACTCTCATCTCAGACGTTCCGGACGAGGGATTTTTTTTTTGGAGGGGACGGATGAAAAAGTAACGTGTTGACGGACGAGGTGACGATCGGAAAGTTACGAATCTTTTAGTTAGTTAAGAGGTGTTGGTTTTTTTAAAAAGACCAACACTTATAAAATATTATAGGTGTAGGTTAATTTAAAACCGACACCTATAACACTATTTTTTTAAAAAAAAAGGGCACCTGCAAAAACTGAGCCGAGTCTTATCCATCCATCCACAGTGGAGATAAGGCTGAGCAGAGCCGAGCCAGTGGGGCCATCGAGGAGATAAGGCCGAGATCTCGCATTATTTTTTCTCAGTCTCTCGTTTTCCTCTCCTCTCTCTCGGTCTTCTCTCTCGCTTTCCTCTCTCAGAGCCGAGGCGGCAGGCGGCAGCGCAAGAGGGGAGGCGGTGGGCGCTGGGTGGCGGCGGCGGGTGGAGATGGTGCAGCCAGCAGCGGGAGGCGGCATCGGTGGCGATGGCTGCGCCCTCCCCTCCTCGTCAGCGGCGAGCGGCGGCATCGGCGACGTGCAGCGGGAGGAGCGGCGGCCGCTCGGAGGTGCCCTCCCTCCGCCAGATCCGGCGAGAGGAAGGGCTCCGGAGCCGTGCCACCTTACCATCCTCCGCGCCACCACCGAATGCGCCGGTTACCTTGACACCCGACATGCCTCCTTCTGCCTTTGTTGTTGGATTTATGATAATACATGGGTTTCTTGTGGGGGTCAAATTCATGAGGTCAAAGATTAAATTTGGTATTTTCTTGTTGTTTTTGGTTGTCTAGTTGATTGATTGATTTAAAGATCTAGCTTGGGGATGTTTTTTTGAAGATAGACTCGGACTCAAATGAACGAACCTAAATTTTGGGAGGGACGGATCACATGGTCGTATGGATGAAAATTAGGTGACGAAAGGAAAATAGGCGACGAAAGGAAAATTATGAATAATTAGTTAAGATAATGGGTTTATTTTATATACGGATGACGACGGAAAATTTTTTAATTTTTTAATTAGTTAGAGATTAGAGATAGAGATAGAGATTAGAGATTAGATCTTTTCTTTTTGTGATTAGGAATTTAGATTGTTTATTTATTTTTTAGAAATAAAAAGAAAAAAAAGAAATAGGGAGGGGAGCTCTTTTTTTTTCTACCTCGATTCGCTATTTTCTTACAGTTGCCGCGTTTTTTTTTTCATGATCGCGCGATGACGCGGCATTGCAGGCATGATGACGCGAGCGACGATTTTATGTGACGTGAGCAACGGACGAAACGGACAAAACAAAATTACAGCTTGTATTTGATACGTACTCAAGGCCATTAATCAATCGGAAAAAAAAACATACGAAAATTCTAATGCATTAGTTAAGATGTGTCTAAAGATTTGACGTTATGTTTTTGCGAAAAGTTTTCGGAACTAAACAGGCCCGGAGGACAATTAGTCAACTGTACCACCCACGTGTGGCCACTGCGCACGTGCCAATCTGCTGCCGCCACGTCAGCTCCAGCATGTGGCCTTCGACCTTGACTCCAGCGTGTACAAACATGTACACGTCAGCATCCAATATGACTTGCCTGGTTAGGCAGGGGCTCAGGGCTGGCTGGAATCATCAGCAACAGGAAGAATGGACGAAACAGAATTCATGGCATTCAGAGCACACGCAGGAAGGAAACCTAGGTTGTTGATAAATAAACAGCAGCACAGGGTGTTTGTTTGTTTGTTGTTGCTTTTGCTGACAGGACAGGCCTAGCTACAAAACCAAGATCCAGCCACAAAATTTGCCCAATCAGTCACACCGCCACGGGAAGTAAAAACATACTGATGGGGCATACGGATTCATGTCGAAACCCCCATACAGAACAGCATTATCAGATAATTTAAGCACACGAGTTCTCAAGCTTCAAGGGCACCTCCTCCTGATTTCATCTTAGAATCGACCACGCCCACGGCCGCGACCACGGAATGGTCCCGGTCCTCCGCCCCTTCTTCCCCTGCCACGTCCTGTGAAGCCGACCGAGGATGAGAGGAGCCATGAGAAGTGAGATGGCGAAACCTGGAAACATTGTTGGTTATGTTAGACTGAGCTTACCACGGCCTGGAGGGGGGTAGTCCTCTGGTTCTTCAAAGTATTCGCCCTGATCTTCATAATAGTCCCCCCTGCCGCCATAACCGTAATCATAGCCATATCCACCACGTCGACCACCTCCGTAGTAGCCACCACGGCCTCTTCCACGTCCTCGTCCTCTAAATCGGCCTCTCCCTCTGCCTCTGTAGTTGTAATAATCTCCTTCCTCTTCCCACTCCTCGCCATAATCATAAGCGGGGGGACCATTGCTCATGGCTGCACATTTGCTATGAAAGAATTAGCAAACATAATATTATCTAGTCGGCAAGACATTCAACAAATAACATACACTTTTTTTAGACTTGCAGATGGAAAAAGACGCATAATTGAATCTACAAATGCAGCTAGCACATTTTTAAACAAGGCACAATGTAGGAAGTGTTAGAAACTAGATCTTTTATTTATTTATTTAAGAACAACAGGATGGTAGAAGCTGCAAAGCCAGTTCATAAGATTGAAAGCAGTATGGCATGCTACCTACAATGGTAACAGATACTGGTAATAACCATGTGTGTTGTAGTCTGGTAGTTTTGTGCTCATAGAAGACATAAGAAAGAGGATACCTCTGCCCCTGCCTCTTCTGCCACCACCACGGCCTCTTCCACGATTAGTGGGGAAAGATTCTAAATTTCCATGAAGGAATTTGTCATCAAATGGTTGTGCTAGTCATATTTAAAGCAGGAAGTCAGAATCATGCGAGAACAATACCTTCGTGTTCATAGTCAAAAGCGGGTCTCACTTCTTCAGCTGGGATAGGTGGCTGGTACCTAAGGATTTAATCAACAGACAATGATCAGACATATTCACTATCAGTTTCAAATTAATATACAGCACCAAATAAGTGAATAATAAGTGGATAAAACATATTAGCTCTGGACAGGGTTCAACTTACCCTGGAGATAACGTATCCAGTGCTTTCTTGGATAATGTTATGGCGATCATTGATACATGCCGGGTGGTCTCTAGGCTGTGGTAAGCAGTACACTAGTGTCATGGCTCACGATAAGTCTTTCCTTTTCTTTTTTCTTCTGAAAAAATACTTACGGGAGAAGGCCTTCTTCCAAAGGTTCCCAAGTGTCCGTGATGTCAATTGATTCAGTAGATGTAATCTGATGAAGACCACCGATCCTTCTCTGAACAAAAAATTTAGAGTAAGTTGAAAAAACAAAGAATAACTTTGGTATTAGATATTACTAGGTGGAAGTGATACTTAGCACTAACCTTGATCAATTCAACAACCATGACTGTCTTATTGATGGCTCTTCCCATAGCTTTGATGACAATCTCATCATGCCCATTTTCCTGAAAAAGAAGATATGGGGATGAACATATTGAACATATAGTCACATTATCCAGGATTAAATAAAAAACATGAGACTGCATAAGGATCCACAAGAGGAAATATAGCATTGTTGACCACTGACGACCCAATAAACTTTTTGGCATAAGGGGACATATGCAAACATTTTGACGATGGCATCTTATAGAATAAGGAACACTGTACATAACAAGCTGAAGAAATAGCATATGAAAACGGCAAAGGTATCTTCTACACAATCAAGTGAATGGGACGAATGTTTGCACATTTGTCAGGCTGACAAACTACACATATTTCAGGAGTCAGGATCAAATGCTACGTAATGGATACAACGACAAGCGATAATATTCAGAAAGTTCAGGAGCAGTAACAGACATTAAGAAGCACAAGGAAATACTGGAAGGACCAGGAGGTCCTCTGCGGTACTACAGTGGCAACTGACGATGTACTATGCCAACCTAAATCATAAGCAGAGGCAGATTCACCTCCGGGCAGCACAGGTGGCTGCCCAGACTTCATGGTAACATCCCTGGAGGTCGACGCTAATTTTTCCCTGAAATAGAGTAGTTCCCGGGCAATGTGTAAATGCCAAAGGTGGGTGTCCAGCAAACAGCGATCCTGCAGGCTGCAGCTAGCAGGTTGTTGCCATCCTCGGCTTCCTATATGGCCTGTCTCACAGTCACAGTCCCAACTTAACGCCTCATTCTCGTATCATATGCATGAACTTGTACATCGAACTCCCAATCTCCCATGCATCTCTAGGCATCATTTTAGATGTACAGTCAAGGCATCAAACAATATAAAAAACACTGACCAACTAAATTTCAATTCTTTACCACGGTCTTGAATTAGACTGAATAATCAGTGCTATAGTTTCAGGGACAAGCTATAATACTTCCTCCGTTTCATATTATAAGACTTTCTAGCATTGCCTACATTCATATATATGTTAATGAATCTAGACATATATGTATACCAAGATTCATTAACATCTATATGAATGTGGGCAATGATAAAAAGTCTTATAACCTGAAACGGAGGGAGTAATACTTAGTTCATATATAAGACAAGTCTTGAAATTTTTCGATGTATAAATTTAGCATGACCGACCAAGGTTCACCACCACATGTAGAAAATGCATTCGCCTTGTAGGATGTATTAGCAAAATGCTTCACTCTAAATATGAATATGTATTATTTTCTTATATGTTGCATGGATATAATTATTTTTTTGTTTCGTGAGGTGCTTGGGTGTGTTAGCGAATTGTTGAGGCAGCAGTAATATTGAATTTAGCACCTTGAATTGATTATACTGATTATCATTTTTTTTCATCTATAAATATTTACATGCATTTTGGGCATGTTTCTATATAAAAAAAATTGGGATGCCAATTTTGATGGCGACATATGAGAATATGGATATGCTTTAGTTAGGTTTTCCCAGGCTTCATAGAATTCCTGGCACAGCCACTAATCATAAGAGCAGATTTCGAACTTAAAAATCCAAAGATACCTCTGATTGAGCTGTGCAGAGGTGTGAATAAGACAAGCTTACAAAATGCAGATAACAGAGATTTTGGGGCCTTTTGAGCCATGTACTTTTTTAGACTTATGCAGCAATAAAAACTGGGTACAAGCAGATGCAGAATTTAAGATAACCGAACAGCTTACTATTGGTAGGAAACACTTAGTGATAAATAAAGGCATATGCATGAGTGCAGTACATACAGGGTATCCCTAAAAATATCTTCACTGTCCACAATGTCAATTTGCAAGCGCGTCCTGTTAATTGTTAAAACATGGCACAAAAAAGGTTGCTGCATGTTCTACCTCAAATAACAACATAGCCAAAGGAAAGTAATAGTAGTAGGGTCACCTCAAGCAACGACATCCCATAGCTGATATAGTTCCTCATCCTCCCCTGTGCAGTGATCCTGATCTCATTCTCACTAATTGGTGTCTCATTGCGAGGCTTCTCCACCCTTTGGTATCTATCCATGCCTATGAATTGATACATTGATATTTCAGTACGACAATATATACAAGCCACAATGTAGAATTACTTCAAGATAGGATCATAAATTATGCAGAAATAAGATAGGGAGAGAGCAAACCGTATACGAATATAAGATAGCATCATAATTAATTTTCACTCGATCATATATAGACTGAGTGAGATTCCAACGACCGGTGAAATTTATACAAAACCTAAGAGTAAGTTAAAAATGAAAACCATCAAAGTCCCCAACCAAGATGAATATCTTTTGAAACTAGAGATTAAATCTATTACTGCAATCTGACAGGTAAGACCACCCCTTCATCGACTTGCAAGAAAATGATTAATTTTCGCTAGGAAAATGCAATAAGATTCTCTTTTTCACTCATCACTCTTTTTGATTCTGTAACAAAGCACGGACATTCTGCTAGTACCATGAAATACACACAAAGGAGATGAAACGTGGACAAACTGAGGCACTAAGTACAGAAATCTGGCAGGTCAAGATGAAGCTCCCTCTCACACATTAGTGAATCTACTTAGGACCTTAGTGACAAATCACAGTCACAGTGATGTTTGCAAGTGACACTCAAACACTGAGGACCTAAAACACAGCAAAGTTCATTAGAGCAGAACGTTAGTGTGATAATTCAGAAACCCAACACGTAGCACGTACAGAACCATTTTGCGCCTCCGAAATCGACAACCAACCGTTCAGAGTAGTCAATCACAAGAGTGCGAACACCGGCTACTACCGGTACACCTAGAACTAAAAATATAACTCGACTGCTACTCCCAAGCCTTAGTCGTTTGATTTAATCCTAAGACAGAGTGATTCCAACACAAGGGAACAGAACTCCAACCGCGCCGCCGAACCAATCCCCACCCCCACGAAGAGCAGCACCCAAACACAGCTACATGCCGCGGCAACGCGCAGAGCAACCGAAAACCCACCCAAACCCCCCCCCCCCCTACACCTCGCAGTCCCGCCACCACCGACCAAAGCACCGGCGAGTCCAGCACCGCCGACGCGCACGAAACCACGGGAAGGGGGACCACAACCACAAAACCACCAAATCGAGCCCTAAACCGTCAACTCCCCCCACCTCCCAAATCCACCACCACCACCTCCACCGCCGCCGCCGCCGAGTCAGCGACGCGAGCCCAACCAAATCGAGGAGGAGAGGAACGAATCGCACCTTCCGATTGGGCTCGCCTCGCCTCGCTGCCTCCTCCTCCGCTTCGTCTATGCAACTCCTCCGCTGCGACTCTGCGAGGCGGAGAGAGAAGAGAAAAAAAAAGAAAAAAAGGAGAGGAGTTTTCAGGTGGTTGCAATGCAGAGGAGACCGGGGCGCGTTCCCGTATCCCGTACGTGGCGTGGGGTTACGGCTCTCCGCGTGGGGCTCCCACCTGGGCGCGGCGCACGTGGGCCGCGCCACGTGGGGAGATCCTGCGCGTTGGTTTGGGGGGATGGGTGGTGCGGATTGGGGTTGGTCCATGGACCGGGCGCGGGGAGGGTTTTGGTGGCAGCGGGTGGGATAGGGCGCCTGGTTCGAGGATAAGGGGCCCCGGTTTTTCACTGCCGCCGTGGGTAGACTGTGGGCCACAGTTGTCAGTGAGCCTGGTTGTGTTGTCTTGTACTCTTGTGCCGTGCTACTGCGCGACACGTGTCGAGGTAATTTTGCCACTTGGAGTGTTCCACTGTGCAGTGGTCACATCAGATTTTTCACTGTTTTTACTTGGAGTGAGATTAAAAATTCTAAGGTTTAGATTTAAATTTTACAGTTAACTTTAAGATATTTTATTTTTATAAAATTGTCTTCTAAATCGCTAAGAATTTTGAATATAAATTATTTTTATTTTCCAATATCACAAAATATGGGAACCGATGAAACCTGATGACTGAGGGTGCGTTTAGTTCCCGTCATTAGAAGTTTAGTTGAAATTGGAACGTTGTGATAAAAAAGTCAGAAGTTTGTGTGTAAGAAAATTTTGATGTGATAAAAAAGTTGAAAGTTTGGTTGAAATTGAAACATTGTGATGAAAAAATCAAAAGTTTGTGTAAGAAAATTTTAATGTGATGTAAAAATTAAAAGTTTGAAACTAAACTCGGCAGAAATACGGTTTTTAGAGGCACATCTGACGGTGCGCAAATTTCCTTACGCAAAAATACACACCTACTGACCTACATAACATTAAGTACAGTGCTTTCTTGGAACAAAACAGCAATGACGCCAAAATCGACAACAAGCAACTAGCAAAACCGCATTACGAGATTTAATCCATAGGGTTCAACAGAGTTAAGGTAGGGACAGCAGAAGGGAGCACAAATTCATAGATCAACAGGTCCTGAAACATCTGCTACAAAACTTAATACCCCAGAAAATATCAAGAGAAGAGAACCAAGTATAGAGTAGTGATGATCGTTTTGACAAATTCTGACTTTGCTGAGGAACCGCACAAACTAAGCCTTGAGCTTGCCGAAGAACCTCTGTTTCTCGTCGGTGGTCTGGAAGCGACCGTGCCCGAACTTGGACGAGGTGTCGATGAACTTGAGCTTGATCTCCTCGAGCGCCAAACGAGAGGTCTGCTTGAGCAGGGACTGGCGGAGGGTGACGACCCTCTTCTTGGGGCCAACACAGCAACCCTTGATCATGAGGTAGTCGCCCTTCACAACACCGTAGTGAGGGAAGCCACCCATGGGAGTGATGTCCTTCTCAGTCCTGAGCGCAAGAGCAAGCACAATATCGTTTAAGTTTCGCTCGCAAACAGATGCAATAGCATATCAAACAGAAGACAGATTTGCAATCATGGAGTGCTGGTGTAATATCTGGTAGACGAATTGGTACCTGTCAAATTCAGTGCAGGCAGCATGGCTTTCCTGGCCAGACTTGCCGATCTTGTAAACCTTCTTATTCATCTCAGTGCGGTGGTGGTACCCATTCTGACCAGCGCGAGCAACAGTATAGGAAACCCTAGCAGGATGCCAGGCACCGATACAGGCGACCTTGCGGAGACCCCTGTGGGTCTTGCGGGGAAGGCGAGTGACACCCCAACGCGTGACAACACCTTCATAACCCTTACCCTTGGTGACACCAATGATGTCAATCATCTCGTCCTTCTGGAACACAGCATCAACTGGGATCTCCTTCTCAAAGAACTTGTATCCATAGTCCACCTTATCGGCAATGGTACCACCATTGATCTGGATCTCCATGAGGTGAGCCTTCTTCTGCTTCAAGCCCTTCATTTTCCTAATCTGAAGCACATAAAGATTTAGAATGAGAATGAACAAACAATTTACAGCACATGGTTACCATCCAATTAACTGAATAGAAGGGCTCAAAATACAAGATAGTAAAATAACAGTAGGTTACTGACCTGAGTGTGCACGATCACACGGACAACAGAAGCATACTTCTTCATCTTCTCAAGCTGCATTTGGATTTCCTTCTTGCCGGCATCGCTATCATACTTGAGAGCATACTTGGTGAAAGCCTTCTTCTTGCTCTTGCACCAGTTCTTGTAGAACCTTCTCCTTACTTCTTCACTAAGATGCTGAGCCCAGACAGAGTTGAGACTGCGTAAGCCACGTGGAGTCTTCACATAGGCCACAAGTCCAACAACGACAATAGGAGGTGTCTCAATAATGGTAACAGCCTCACAGGTCTCCTTCTTGTGGAGTTCTGAAAAGCATTAGAAAAATGACAAGGTTAAATCTCTTCAGTAGTATGCATATTCAGATGAATACTAAAGTCTTAGTATTAAAGTCTTGGCTAAAGGCCAGTACTCAACTATGTTAGGACTTGTTGCCATTAATTCAGAATATTATGTTCTTCCAAGTAAAATTAAGAACAACAGATGAAACTAATGTAGTTGCTTCTTCCGCATAGTCACAATACATGGTCATCTATTTCCAGGTTGAACAAAATAGCATTGGCAAAAGGCAAAAGGATTAGACACATACTGGAACCAGGCTTCTCGACCTCACGCACAATGTGGGTCATTCCAGCCTTGTAACCGACAAAGGAGGTGAGGTGGCATGGTTTGTTGACGTCATCCTTGGGGAATGACTTCACTGCAATAACAGAGAACAAAATATCAGATTGGTAGTGTAATCACACATAAACAACTGGCAGTGCAAAATGGCACCGAGAAGACGACTGGAACAAGAAAAAACTAAAAGTTGAAGCTAAGCCTTAGAGACTGCTAGAAAGAATTCCCAAACTTGGATATTATTGGCAAGAAAAACAATAAATTTCAGCATTTTGAAAAATAGGCAGAGTACACTCATGTCAGATATGCAGATATATGGGGAAATGCATCACCGCAGGGGTATGCTCTTAGTAGGAATTCAACAATCAATGATGGAAGCACATGGATTGATCAGATCAACATAGAATTATTACCTCATTTTTACTATTTTCCCCCATTACACTAACAAAAAGAAATTATGTGGACCATTACACTAACAAAAAGAAATTATGGGGACAAATAGAGCATAGGCTTTCAGGTCATATATACAGAGCACCAGAATCAAAGTCCATTTTGCTAAGAACACTGGGGCGCACAACAATCTAGCCAGGCACACAGAACTAGGCCTATAGATCCATACAGCAACAGCATCTCGTCCACGACTACATCCTATTTTCTACCAAGAGGATCCAACAAGTTTCTACTCTACCATACAAGGCGCAAGCTCTACAAATACAGCACCGCACAAGCAAAAGAGAGAGAGAGAGAGAGTAGGTGAGTGAGCATACCCTTGCCGCGGTGGCGGGAGGAGCGCTTCCTCGGGAGGAAGCCGAGGGATCCGTGCCTCGGGTGCTCGAACTTCCTGTGCGACATCTTCTTACTCCTCCTCCCTTACCTACAAAATCCCGCGAGAAAACGCAAACTCCATCAGATCCACGACAAAAGCAAACGCGGCAAAGCACCCACCGGTGAACCCGCAGGCCGACGCCGGCAACGAAATGGCCTAGCCGCGCCGCCGCCGCAGGCGAGCAGCGAATCGAGGGGAGGCGAAGGATGAGATGGTTACCTGGTGCGGGGTGGCGGCGCCGAGTGGCGGTGGGGTGTGTGTGGAGGCGGAGCAGGGTAAACCCTAGGACAGCGCTTATAAAGGGGGGCGCCACGACGAGGGTTTTGATGGGTCGGACGGAAATGCCCCTCCGCGATGAATGCTTCTAGGGCTTTCTTGCTTCTCTGGGCTGGGCTGGGATGGGATGGGCTCTGGCCCACAATACCTCCACTTGACCTCTTCGTTTGCTAATCATTTTCTCTGTTTTTTTTATTATTCTTCTAAGAAATATCTTTTTTCTTTTCTTCTTCACTTCCTTTTTTTCTCCCATGCTCATATATGGGGTTAAATCAAATAGCACTTGCAAAATGTTGCTCTCTGTTTCAAATTTTCTTGTGTTAATTTATGTGCTTTTCACTTCATTCAAGCGGAAAGATGTCAATGATATGTAGGATAACTTTTTGACATGGTCTTTGACCACTCGTTGTATTCCAAAATAAATAAATAAAATATTAAGTATGGCTTATACTTAAGATGTTTACGCTGATTCTTTTCGAATAAAATGAATAATCATGAGTTATTCCAAAAGCCAATGGTATCATCTATTAAAAAAATAGAGGTAGTACATTTTTTTCTGCCTCTTGAGTCTCGAATCACTTGTGGCAGAAGAGATGGAAATGCCGGGGAAAAGAATGATATATCACTTGGCAGAGCCAATTTCAGAAGGAACAAACTACCGACACAATTACATGCAATGTACTTAAGCTGTCTGCTCTATGCACCCGATAAGAATACACAATGACTCAAAACTCTGCACTCTCGTATAGTTCTGAACACAACAAGAATGTTAACTCACACCAAATTTCTCAAGTCAAGAACACCAAAACGAAAAGAATGATGAAAAGAACCACCAAGAATGCTATCATCATAATCTGGCCTTTCAAGCTGGCCTTCTTCAGGACCATGGCCACCCTTTTCTGCACGAAATCAAAAGAGGGGAAGAATTTTCAGGCTGTTGGAATCTGGAGTCAAAACAGACTAGGTGGAAAATATGATACTCCCTCCGTTTCAGAATGTAAGTCATTCTAGCATTTCTCATATTCATATTGATATTAATGAATATAGATAGATATATGTCTAGATTCATTAATATCAATATGAATGTGGGAAATGCTAGAATGACTTATATTGTGAAACAGAGGAAGTATTCCTTTTGTATTGGGATAGAGAGAGATATAACGCATGCCTGCACAAAGTCGAGCCTATTGGTCGTAGTTTCCATGTCAAGGCTTAGCTCCCCCAAAAGTCTTTCCTGCGCAAGATAGACGAGAAAACAAACATTGGCATCACAAAGGACAATAGCATTTCAATAACACAATATACAGTAGTCAAATTAAGTACTGTACAACATTTATACAAGGAAAGAGAGTACACAAAAAACTATTTGTACGAAAGCAAGTAAGGAAATTAGATTATCATAACTTTACCTGTCCAACAAGTTCATCATGTATGGTGAGACCAACACCTCCAATTCGCTGGACACTAGCACTAAGCTCATCCAATTCCTCATCCTGTCGCCTACAGAAGAAGTGCAATGCATTTATCAGTGATCGTTTGGTCCACAGTTCATACGAGAGAGGAAAAAAAATAGAACAAACTTATGGAAGGCAATTTCAAATCTCTTGTTTAGGAAATTATATGATTCCATGGAGCAGAACTTTGATTCTTTGTTTCTTTGAGCTACAAGTTCTAATTTGATATTCGAACAACATGAATCTCAGGAAATTAGATCATTTTGGTAAGCGCTTACTTAATCAGGAGCATCTGCTGATCTGATTCTGAAGCAATGAAGTCATCGTTATCTTGAGCAATGTGCTGCTTGGACCTCACTAATTCAGAAGGATTGACTGAATGGCCAAAGGCACTCTTTTGCTTTCCAGCTTCAACACACCGCCTTATGGAGACCACCTAGGTTATTTCAAATATTGTTATTTGCCACATCAAACTCATTTTATAGCAGAAAATCAGGTTGTAGACTATCATACTGCAAGACTACCTGGTTACGAGCAGTGCTAGTCCAGTTCCTCCTTTTTCCTATTTCAACCTCGTTAAGTCCATAGTAAGCTGGATCTCTCTCAGCAACTGAAATAGCTTTCTCCAGTTCAACCACCTGGATGAAAGGTCGAAGGCATATATAAGTCAGAGATGAAGTAAGAACATGAAAAAGAAATGGAGGGTTAACGACAGTTTATAAATACGTCAAACCATTCTGAACCTTATGGGTTGTGAGTGGTTGCATTGGCCAAAATATTTATAAAAAAAGTAAAAGTACAAAAGAGTCCTGAGGCAGAATAACTACAGGCATCATGAGCCTAAAATTAGTATGACACTAAAAATATGGTGGCAATCCCATATACCTGCCACTGGATACTTTCGCAGCTTGCTATTATTTCTTTGGTCAGATGCACATGTTCTCCAGTGTTTTCCGGTGTTTGCTTCCACTGATGCAAAGTATCTTGAATTTTTTCTATCTGGACAACAATGGGACAACAGAAGAGAAGTTGTTATATGCATCATGAAAGTAAAGAAATGCACTACTTATAGTATCATTTGCGGTGTTATTATTTGCATCGAAATAATCGTTGGAAAGAATATAACACAATTGTCTTCAGACCTTGTAGTAACAGAATACATCATTAAAGGGAAAATCCTTCGGTAAAAAAAAAGACGGTATAATGCCAAATTGTAAATGAGGAAACCAGATATCATATATACTCACAAGAGAAAAAAAAAGATATCACATTCACATATACTAACAGATGGCATAACAACTCTGCACAACATCACACATAGTAGCTACATTCATCTACCACACACCCAAGAGGGAGCAGCTCTATCAATCTCTCAGATCCATGAATTGGTGAGACTCACTAAGACGCATTAATTTCCTGCAATTCTCCTACAGGGAGTTAACCGAAACCGAAGAGCCCAGGAAACGGATCCAGAGCTGCAATTGTGTGCAACCCAGAGAAGATCAAACCGCTTGAATGAGAATCTACACAGCGAAGAACACGGCAAATCAAGACCGACCACACACCAGTGAGTGACCACCAGAAATCACTGGTTCACCGCGATGGAGTCTAGCGCCCGAGATTCGCATTTACACGCCACGACACAAGAGACCCCGCTGCTTTGTAGGGCATGGACAACCCGGTAAACGGATCGAGCGAGCAAGTGAACGAATGAGCGACGGGGAGAGGAGCTCACCGACTCCTGGATCTCGTCCTTGACGATGTAGAAGGGATCCTGCGCGGAAGCCATCCTGTTCCCCCAAGCTCGCGAAGGGAACCTGGAGAGGGAGAGCTCGGCCGGATCGCCGGAGCGGGGAGTGACGCGGCCACCTCCTCCGGCTCCGCCCACTCCGGTGTGGCGTCGCGGACGAAAAGGGCGGAGACGAAGATCGGGGAGATGTCTACACACACCAATTCGTGGGCTGGCCTCCGATCCTCCTTGCTGGGCTTTAGGCCCATGTGATCTATTGGGCCGTAAATAATCCTTTTATTGCGCATTATTTTGAGTAAATTTGTATTTCGCTGGGTAAATAATACTCCCTCTATTCCAAAATATAGGGCACAACTATTTTTTAAAGTGGTTTCATAATATAAGGCGTGCATGCATGCATGCAATTAATTAGCACATTCTCTCCCCTAAATCATTATTATTTTAAATCCTATACTCACAAGATCTTCAATTCTATTGGTTGCATGTATTGTATTAATTGGGGTGATTCATAATAACGATGAGATATTAATTATTTCTTGGTCTTTGGGATAAGGGTGGTTATGCTTTATATTTTGGAATGGAGGGAGTAAATACGTACTAGGTTATAAGCAGAGACTTTACTCTATACCCCCTCTGTACTCGTAAAGAAAGTCGTTTAGGACAATGTTTAAGTCAAGCCTTGGGAATACAAATCATAAATAACTCTCAAGTTGTTGAGTTTGAAAATATAAAAAATATATGAATAGATTTATCTTGAAAAATACTTTCATAAAAGTATACATATATCACTTTTCAATAAATATTTTTATAGAAATAAGAAGTCAAAATTATGTTTTGGAGACCGTGTCGCTGTCCAAAACGACTTCCTTTACGAGTATGGAGGGAGTACTAGTTTGCACCAAAAATAAGTTTACAATGTGTTTTTCCTATACGTGTGGGTTGGTGTGTAGTAAAACTAGATGTGTACCCCGCGCGTTGCTGCGGAAGAATTATGTAATAATATAGTAGATATGAGTTCTAAAATTTTCTTTCAAACCAACTATATGATTTCTTTTCATGTGTTTATATATTTTTTACCTTTATTAATTATCCAAATGTCATAAATAATTGGGTTGTATGGTGTATCTTTTGGTGGAAAGAGATGCAATTTACACTTTTGATGAATCATCCAAAGTCTTAAAAGAATTGAGTTGATGTGGCTTCACGACAGAAGAGAGAATTAGCATTAACTACACGTAGTGGGGATGAACTTGATAGATATATATAGATATAGGATTTGTTTTCGTTTGCCATAATATGAAGAGAAAATAATACTATTTGTTTATTAAGCCTGTAAGAAACTCTGTAATATAGTAATTTTGTGCGGTAAGGATATATTATCAGTCGCTGCAGAAACGCTATAGGGCAGCATTTTGCTGGGTAAATAGGATTGAAGCAAAATAGGTGAGGAAGCCAAACTGATTACTTTGCAATAGTTTGAAGCAAAATACCAAAAATTTTATTTTTGCCATTGACACACTAGGTGAGCAATTTTGTTACCACGTCCATGTGCTGATTTAAAGTTTTTTTTTTAAAAAAGAAACTTATTTTTTTTCTTTGCCACAATATAAAGCTAAAATATTTGTCATTAACTGATCCTGTTGCAAACAATGAATTTTACCCCACCATAGCTAAATTAACTCATGATTAATAAATAAGCCTGTAAGTTACAGAACTGAAGAAACTCTGTAATAATAATAATTGATCACTAAGAATATGATCAGTCGCCGCCATTGATCACTAAGCTAGTGCAGTGTAATGGCAATGGACGCCACTACCATCAACAATGGCAGCGATCCCATCCCCTTCCCCTTCCTCGCGCCCTATATAACCACAGCTCGCCGGCGATCGATCACTGCACCATCAGCTCCCACAAACCCAGCTAACCAAGTTTAATTGCCACCAAGCTCACCAATGGCGCTCGCCGTGAAGCTCGCCGTCCTCCTACTACTTGCCGCGGCAGCAGCTGGAGGAAGCAGCACGACGACCGTGCCGCCGCTGGAGGAGAGGCTGGGCGCGGCGTTCGACGGGATGGCGGCGGCGGCGGAGGGAGGAGGAGGGGGAGGGTGGATGATGGAGTGCTGGAGCGCGGTGACGAAGCTGGGGTCGTGCACGAACGAGATCGTGCTCTTCTTCGTCAACGGCGAGTCCTACCTCGGCCCGGACTGCTGCGTCGCCATCCGCACCGTCACCCGCCGCTGCTGGCCGGCCATGCTCGCCTCCATCGGCTTCACCGCCCAGGAGGCCGACATCCTCCGCGGCTTCTGCGACGCCGAGCTCGCCGCCCCGCCCCCGCCCTCCACCAACGCCTCCTCCGCCGCCCCCGCGCCGGCGCCGGCGTCCGCTTAGCGCCGGCCGGTGGCGCGTTGAACACGCTCTTAATGTAATAAAATAAACTTGGAAATAAATTAATTATAGCCAGTTTGCAGCCGCTGTTTTGCTTGAATTTGTCAGTGATTTGCATTGGCAAGTACTCCTATCAGGTTTTTATGGTTTAGAGAACTGTCTGAGCATTCCAGTTGATTCCAAATTGTTTTACCTTACATGAATGAGATAATGGGTAAATTAAATTAACTGACTGGATAATTAGATAAATAAACTGAACAAAATGAGAAGTTCAATTTACAGCCAAAATCATCCTCTAGAAACAGAGGGGCCGGCAATTTGTTTTTGGGCTAATGTTAAGCTGAAATGGTCGGGGTCGATCGACTGCTTTTTTCTGCTAGTTTGTTTTGGTAATGGGAAATTGATATCATATTTATTGTGAAATGTGCATGTATATACATTACTATACATCGTAAAAAAGAGAGCCTATTAAACATCAACCGTTGATTCATTAAAGGGTAGTTTAGAGATTGGAAATAACATAACAGGTAGTTTAGTTATCCATGATCAACTGGAACTTCTCTCTTGGCCGGCTGTTTGCTGCCTGCCCTTGATTCTTTCCTGTTTTCATAGTCATCGGTGTTCGTCGTCGCTGAGTTAAAAAAAAACAAAAACTGTAATGCAATATCAAGGGGGCACATGTACACAAAGCATGACAGAACGTATAAGCTGAAGATAATTACTAAGAACTCATTGCATGTGCGTCTTTGTGTAGTTTGTCAAAATATTTCTCACTTACTATGGATGTTATCTTAGAAACCCCTGGGGTTGAAGATGTATCGTCATTATGAAACATGACTCTTTGAAGCGGCTATGATTATCATTGAACACGGAACCGAGAAGAACAAGCAACTGTTCCAGCTAAGTTATTGGAGGCGAAAGAGAGGAATTTGAAACATATTGGAACACAATAACACGAATGAGAAAATAAACACCCTGTGTCATCGATACAGAGTCAATATATGCAGTAAGTTAGAGCATCACAACAGTCCTCCTATATTTTTTTCTCAAAATTGATTTTGAGGAATTTTATGTGAAAAATGGGATCCAACAGATTCCTTATAATCCTACATACATTTTGGATTTCCTTCCCTGTATTTCTCGCTCAGTTGATTTGAGGGAGAGAAGCGCTCCCCTCCGACTCCCAGTCCAATCGTGTCTCTCCCGCGCTAGTGAGCAGAGCTATCTATTCCCGCAAGGTATTTCACGCGCAAGGAGAAAACAGGAAAACCAATTCTGTTGTTAGTTCAACAGAAGGGCACACTTTTATTTTTTTTATAAAATTTAGACTTTCTCTTGGAGATATCTAGGTAGGGATTATATATAATCTCTCAGTGATGCTAGGAACAGTTATGAAATATAAATTGGACCTCTAATCTAAATGCATCTACTTCGTATAACCCTCGCATCTGGAATTCTGGATTGCGCATATCGGGCCCGTGCATTGTTTCGGGCCCAGTGCTAAGCTCTATTCATGTTTTCCTTTCTTTCCTTTTGGCGCTTCCCACGCTTGAAGCCCATCAGGACGATCTACTCCGTCTACTCACTACATGACTTGTTTGTTAGTAAACATTATATCACTCAGTATGCTTGATTGTGTCAATTCTCGGTCTTTTCTTTACTGTCTTTTCTTCAGTTGGCTTTGAAAAAATTAGTTAAGTTTGGACGTACGACGGCTAAAATGTTTTTAAGATTCATACAAACCCTAGCATTATCCTTTCTTCTTCTCCTAGTCCTAACTCGTGTCATCATGGCTTCATCTCTCCTAACTGATTTCCCTGCCTCCTCCGCTGTCACTGTCCTAGGCCCGTCTCCTCCGCTGTCACTGCCCTATAGGCCCCAGCGCTGCTGGCTCCCGACCTCGCCAATTGGCTAGAAGCTGTTCGGACTCCCTCCTCTTTCTTCATAAGTCGGCAGCGACACAATTGCCCCGCATCACCATCTTTCTCGTGCTACTGACCGCCGCCTCCTAACCACATGGCCTCCCTTGCCTCTACCGCCAACCCCACCCACCACCAGCTTCCATCCTCACATCTCCACGCGGTGCCCCCCATCACCTTGTTGCCTATCGATAGCTGGTTCAGCCGTTGACCAAGGCTAGCTCTCTAAGCCTGAGGAAACCTCAACCTTCCACTACTTTCACCAACTCATTCTCCTCCATCTCCCTCATCTTACCCCTAAAACTTAAATTGTTCAACCACTATCGTAGTCATTAGACTGGTGTTGGAGCTCCACCAACACTATAATTGGAAAATTCGCCTCCCCATCATATTCTTTGAGCTCTTACAGTCTGGTCTGGAGGTCCAAGAGTAGAAGTCGACTCTTTGGCCATTGGATTGAGACCCACTGGCCAGGGAGAAGGTGACTTAAATTTCCCATAATTTATGTTACCTTTAACTAGCAAATACCTTTTTTTTAATACAAGTTAGAACCAATGTGCCGTTAATTGATTTTTTAAAGGGTCCATTAATTTAATTTGACTCGGGCAATCTACATGTACATGTCCCTTTCAAATCGGTTTGTGCTGCATCATTTTGCAAAGAGATGTTAGTTAGAGCTGGTACAATAGCAGGCTATAAGACACCTATAATCACGTATTAAGAAGAAAAGAGAAGAGAGAGAAGAAAGCAGATACTGATCAGCTGCAAAACACGGATTCCAAGACGTTATGTGTGATAAATGGTGTAGTATATTTTTATATTTAACTGTTGTATAAATAGACTATTAGATTAGCTATAAATGATTTGGAGTTGGCTATACTTAAACTTGCTCTTAGAGTCGATCAGGCGAAGGCACGTACACGGCCATGTGCAGGTCAGGCAGACTTGGTGCAAGACAGATATATATGTGTCCCACGCACTCATCACTTCTCCAGATAGGTTTGTGCTGCTGCACGACAATCAAGACGCATCATATTGTAGGGCTAAAATTAAGCAATTAAGCTGATCTGTCGACAATAATTAGTGGAGCTAGTGGTTGCAAATACTCCTATATGCATATGGGAAATTTGAGAAAATACATGGAGTTATTAGGATTTTACACTAAAAACCTTTGGTAACTCGAGATACCTAAATACCTGGAGAATTTCTCCCGATATATATTTAAAAAACATTAAAGTTACCCTATGCATATATACTTCCAGCTTGCTTGATTTGCTTCGGATAAAAGGCATGCACATGTTCTGTGATCGATCGTGCCTTTGTTAATCCGTTGCTTTCGTCCTTCCAGTGTCATTATTCTGCCTAATTAAATTACCAGATTCAGAGTAGAGTATAATATGTTGAATCGACGCTATCATCGGTTGAGAAGTTATCAACCCCAGATGAGACACCATATAATTATAAGTTATTCATCGCGAGAGAGAAGCTCTTTCCGTTCTCGAACCCACTATTGACTACGGCAGTATTACTTTGACCAATTTTTTTACATAATTTCGTTACGATGAATAAAAGTTGCATAGTTATATTTATAAGGGTATATATTTCAATAATATATAGCATATTTCAAGTATATATAAATTTTTTTTTGCTGAAAAGACAAGTATTCAAAGTTTAAATTCGAATAGCAGCGGCTCGGTTACTCGATAACAGAGGGATTGAGTACATACTATACTATACATGTCCATAGGGTTGTGAATGAGTTGAGCTCGAGCTAGCTAGGCTACGTAGCTCGTCACACGAATGTATACTAATTTATACCTAATATACTAGCTAGCTCATAAATAAAAGATAAAAACTACACATATGACTAGGCTTGTGATAAAGCTCGAGCTCGGCACATTAAAAGTTTGAGACAAGCTCGAATCAAATCTGAGCCGAGCTGAAGCTAGCTGGAGACGCTCACAAGCCTCGAGTTTTTTTAGCCTCACATGTGCAGGCGCGTATTACACTGTAGTACTTTTTATAAAATCAACATAGAGGTAGTACACATCTCTTTTAAATAGAGATTAAAAATATTACTCCCTCCATCTACTTTTAATAGTCATATTTCATCTTGGCACATAGACCAAGAATAAATAATTCTACTTATCATCCATTTAAATATGATACTAGTCATTCCTTGTAAACAAGCGATTCATTAATATTTACATTTCTCAATGCCCATGTAGCCAATCATGTGTGAAAGAATGGAGAGTCATGCATTAAATCCGAGAAAGTCATTAAGATGATAGGTTGTTGAATTAAAATATGCCTATCAAAAATAAAATTTTCAGATTTGGAAATATGACTATCAAAAGTAGATGGAGGGAGTATTAGTGAAAAATTCATGTGGACATAATTAATTGGTTTGTCTGATCGACCAACATGTTTTTAATATATATTTTTTGATCATGTAGATTTATTTGAGCTCACATAGTACTCCCTTTGTCTTAAAACAACATCCGTCTCATTCATTCAAAGTCCCTTATATTTTAAAACGGGGGATTAGTACATTGAGATTGACAGGCCACTGCTTTACTGTACACCAGATTATTTTTGCTACAAAGTTAAAGGAAATTAAGCCAAACAATTTCAACGTGCTAATTAATTAGATTGATATGTTTCATTTTCATGAGGGACAACAGGCTATGTATGCATGGCTACACATGATTCCACCAGAATTTTTATTGAAATATACAAAATAAAGATACCATATTATTGATGCACACCCTGCTAGCTATCTTTGACTTTTAGCTATCAACTTGTGCACAGTAATGACCTCTTAGCTAGGTAACTATATATATATCTAAAAGTAGTCAGCTATTGCAGTCCTATCCTGTGAATCTTCATCTGTTCGTCCGTTTCTTCCCGTGTATAGCAAGGGAAAATCATTCAGCCCCCTTCAAATTGAATTTCAAGTAAACTGTCAATGATGACATCATTGAGTACATTATTTTTTAAAAAAATACAGATCATATAACCCCACCAATAGTTAAATTAGCTATATGCAACCACCGTTAACGTTGGTCATGATTAACATTTTGTGTCTTGGACTGCCAATTTTAATTATATTAACCTGACCTAGACCACAGGTAACATGAGTAGGTACTATGTAGTATGTATACCTGACCTGTTTGATTATTTGTGGGAGAGATATATGACTCCATTAATAATGCAATATATGAATGAATTATTCCAGAACAGCCACGTATATATATGCTTTTGCCTAAGCTAGAGGTAGTATAACTAATTGATTATGATTGGAGAAGAGTCAACTTCACATAACACATCTCTACGTCCCGATCGCCTAATGAAGATATTTTTTGAGCTTATCCAAGTGACCGACAACTTTCTGGCTACTGATCTTGCATCATATAAACCTTTGCAAAAAGGCATAAAAACATTCAAGGAGAAAAATACACCACATCCTAATTACTTCACATGCAGACTTGTCTCGTAGCATCGGTTGAAACTCGAAGATTAATAGTGCATGAGAAATAAAACTACACTGGTTAAACCTCCTCAATTTTACATATGGTAAAAAATAATGAACTAATTAGCTATTTCTCTAAAACAGTAATTTATCCTTTGATGTACCATATTTTTTTTATATAGAACTTATATATACCTTCAGATGCTAGCTATCTCAGAATACCAAAATTTTGGTGCCCACAAGTACTTTCTCAAGGATCATAAAATTTCTCTAAAATTTTTATATGCATGCATGATGTAATTAATTTGTAGACGTTTTGACCTTTTAGTTCTGTTTTTGTGCCACAAAAGATCTGTCTAAATAATTAATTAAGCAAAAGAGAAAGATGATCACATCATCACACATACTCTGACTATATATACTATTGATGCAAAAATAAAGATATATTCTGTAGGCCTATACCCTCCATTATTAATAACAACTGGACCCCTGCTGGGTCCAATTGTAAGATATACTCTCACCAAGCATAAGCATATTCCATGGAATAGAACAATCCAATGGGATTATTTCAAGTCACTCGTAGTCGACATATATCGCATTCTCAGTACTCGTCAATCGAATTAAAGCTCTATTATCATATAATCTACTTATTTTATCATTTCTTTAGCAGATCCGGACCCTTTTTCCCACACCAATGGACGGCTATTACTTCAACTCTAGGCAACGAAAATTTTGTCAAAAGATATAGCCGTATACATTGAAATAGCTGCCGCGATCATTTCCTATTTTTTTTTCTTTTTCATTTTTTGGGGGTGGACGGCACTAATTAAGATCAACTATAACTAAAATTACATAGTATATAACTCATTTTTGTTTCTTTGACAGGAACTCTCTTCAGAACGTATTTTGCAGAAAATGGATCAACCTAATTTTACACAAGTCAACTACTGCAGACTATCTCTGACAACAGAAATTCTTATACTGTTGTACTTTAAATACTAATATAAGACATGGTTAAACTTGATACGGTCTTCTAAACTAATTTTTGTCTTATAATTTCTCATATATTATAAGGTTTGTAGTAACAAAATTATAACCATATGAAAGTAAATTCAAATGTCAATCCAATGATATAATTTTTATCAAGTAAAATTCAATTCATATTGTAGTAGTTGTTGGTCAAATGTTTTAAAGGTGGAATCTTGAAATACGTGGTTGGCTTATATTATGGGATGGAGAGAGTAACTTTTTAGTCGTAGAAGAGATGTCTGTGATTTACCAGCCATTTCTTGGTTTCAAAATAAAAGAAGAAACCGCGTGTGGCTCCAATTTATAACCACCGAACATACAGTGTATGTGATTATCCCGTGATATAAATCATTCATGATGTGTCCTTTTACTAGCTAGATCTACCATACTTTGTTGCATTTAGCTCTCGACATATCACTTTTGATATCTCTACCTGGCGATCAACATAAGCCATACACATGGTGACATGGATATACATCTCAGCACGCATCCATGGCACATGCGTACTGAATTATTGCCCGGCCCTAGCACTCAATAACACACGTTGTACTACGAGACGAGCATATGTCTATCTGGCACGATGCTGAGAGAGATGGCATATGATGGCAAACGATCGATTAATTGGAATACGGACGATTATTTAGAAATTGGAATTACATGCATGGATGATTGTACAATTCAACACTCACAAGAAAGAAATATGATGTATGTAGGTTATATATCTTGATTGATTGTTCAACTTATATGTAGGACATACTTGCAATATCCTTCTTGCCCGATTACACTTGTAAAACCATAAAATTCATTGTTAGTGGATATATATTAGGAATAATCCGCAGTCCAAAACATATGAGTGTAGCAAAATGCTACTTGAAACTTAGTGCCATAATTTAGAGTCGAACGTAGCTCAACTAGTCATGTTTTCTTTGATGGAACAACCTATCCGAGTTCAAGTCCTATACTTAGATATAGGTGCACATATTTACGACTAATTATTCTTTCAGTGGTAGACGATGAACTTGTCGATAACGAGACGTTCACAGGGACTTTGTCAATATCAAGATATGTCCATTTAGTCTTCTTGATGTGCCCACAAGGGATAGGATAAGCGCGTGTGTTTGTAAGAAACACTAGTTCATTTGATAAGCTTGTATTTTGCACTCTTGCATCCTGATAGTCCCAAACATAAGAATAGGGTGTTACGCAAATGAACGGGCCAAATCTCTGCTCATCACAAGGTGATTCATGTGTTCCGATCCAGGGTGCGGGACATGCGCATGTTGGAGAAGATGGATATGTTTACAATAACAAAAAAAAACTATCTAACCCCATGCAGGTTATCTTCATATATTCCAGTTAGTTCCATTCTTAGTCCTTACTGATACTATATGTTGTGAAGCTACACCGTTGGAATCAGCAGGGATCTTTTGTTCTACTTTGGATGGTATAGCTCCTATATAATATAGTTAGTATAGATTATATGTGTTTTCTAGTTGATATTTCAGTTGGGTGTTATCAGGAGGGAGATGCGGTTTATTCCATAAACTTAGGGCCCCTTTGTGAAGCAAAGGTTTAAGAAAATAGAGGAATATGAAAAACATGATTCTGATATGAATTCTACTACAAAACAGATGATTGTAAAATATAGGAAAAATATATAAATGATTGTTTGATTGAATCACGGAAAAAATGTAGGAATTAGATGAGAGGGATAGACTCATAGGAAACTTTCCATGAGGTTAGACCTCATGTTAAAAATCCTTCAAAACTTATATGGATTAAGACATTTCTTATTAGAAAGTTTTCAATCCATGGTTTCAAAGGGCTGTATAGAAAAAAAAACCTACAAAATAAAAATGCTACAAAATTCCAATAATACTTTTCCTTCAAATCAAAGGAGGTCATAAGTTTCTTATTTATTGTATGCCTATGGCAGAGATCGTAGAGATAAACAATTTTCATTATTGGAAAGAAAATGCTTAATTAGTTGAGCTGCTACCTTCGACTTCGCGCGGCTTTATCCGGTGCGGATTCGATCCTCGTTCACGCAAACAAATATCCCGTCCCGGTTCATCCGCACACGCTCTATCAGCGACTTGCACTACACTACTCATCTGCCGACACAAGACAAAAAAACCCATGTGGGGCCCACATCAACCCAAGTAGTGTAGTGGTCGGTGGGCCTGCACACCGTCCATTGTCCGCTCGCGGCGTACGTGTACGTGGATCGGTGGTACTACGTCTCCATCGATACATTTTTTATTTTTGCCCAATGCCCATCTCTCTCTCTCAGGACGAATTAATCAATAATAATAATGCAGATGGCCATTTCCTTTCATGATTATATATATTGTTCTCTCCGTTCTAAAATATAAGCATTTTTAGTATAGTACCAAATCAATCATTTTTAACATTAATTATTAATAGAAAAAAATAAAAAAAGATCAACCATGTAAAATTAATATTATTAGATTTTATCATTAATTAAACTATTATAATATGTAACTCTTTTTATTTAAAACATTTTATTTTTATAGATATGGTTAGTTAAAGTAGCATCTTAAAGACTACGTGAAAATCTAAAAATGATTATATTTTGGAACGAAGAGATTATTAATTAATCCAAGTTAACACCGGATTAGTTACTACTCCAGTAAGCTAGCTTTACGCCTACGGTTACTTTAGCTCTTTAACGGTGGCCTCCGCCTATAAAAGCAGGCCAGTAGGACGCCAATAAGCAAGCAAGCAAAGCCACATCTTATTGTCACTTCCATCTCATTCTCCTAATTGTCATCACTAGCTTCTAGCTAGCTTAATTAATTAATTAGCCATGGCGGAGGAGAAGCACCACCACCACCTGTTCCACCACAAGAAGGACGACGAGCCGGCCACCGGAGTAGACTCCTACGGCGAGGGCGTCTACACGTCGGAGACGGTGACCACCGAGGTGGTCGCCGGCGGCCAGGACGAGTACGAGAGGTACAAGAAGGAGGAGAAGCAGCACAAGCACAAGCAGCACCTCGGCGAGGCCGGCGCCCTCGCCGCCGGCGCCTTCGCCCTGGTAATTAACTAATTAATTAACCACTAATTAATTGATCTAACGCCGCCTTAATTAATCAATTAATTTGCTAAGAAATCATCAAGAAGTAATTAATTAAGCTGATTAATCGTGGTGTGTAGTATGAGAAGCACGAGGCGAAGAAGGACCCGGAGAACGCGCACAGGCACAAGATCACGGAGGAGATCGCGGCCACGGCGGCGGTCGGCGCCGGCGGCTACGCCTTCCACGAGCACCACGAGAAGAAGAAGGACCACAAGAGCGCCGAGGAGTCCACCGGCGAGAAGAAGCACCACCTCTTCGGCTGATCGACCTCATCACAACGTCGCCGGCGGCGGCGACGACCTCGCCGTACGTCGCCGGCCGCCGTGTCGTCGATTTGTGTGTGTAATAATTTGTCTTCTTCTGCATGCGTGGTGTTGCTGTTTTTCACAAGAGTCTCCGGCCTCGACCAGTGAGAGGCTGACAGGTGGGGCCGTGAGTTCAGCTTGTGTTGCTTGATTTTCTCTGCAGCCTTGCCCTCTGTGTGTCCAAATAAGTGGTGTGCATGGCTCTCTCCGTGTCATGTATCAATGTATTTTTATCTGTACTTTGTACAAGTGAAGCAATATTTATCGAACCTTGACTTTCTCCATTCTATTTGAAAAACCATTAAAGTTGAGTAGATTTTAGTGTGTTAAATTATATCGAGAACTACAGAAGTGCTATAGGAATCTATCAGAAAGATAACCATCTCTTGGGGACAATCAATTCTCCATAAGAGGAGGCAAGATAATCGAACAAGAACGCGCATCGAAAGATCAGGATTAATTCATGTTTAACGAACACAAATAAAAATATCACACATATGGTATTCATAATTAAAGTGGTTGGTAGTTGAAATTTTGCACTCAAATTAAAGATTTTAAAGAAAAATCAAATTAAAGTTGATAGTGATAAGTGGTTGCATTGGAAACCACATGGATCCAATGTTGACACTGATGTAGGAGAATGCATTTCCTAAAAAAAATTCCTTGGAAAACAAATGTTGTCTTTTTTTTCTAAAAAAAAATTGTTTGTCTGTTGGAGTAGTAAAATGCCACAACCAAAGCTATTTTGCTAACCAACAAGTATTACACTCGCAAATAAAAAAAAAAGACTAAGGACAGCAACATACGACAGGTAGAGATTTTGCTGAGTAGCAGGCACAATGTAAAAAATTTAGTGAAGAGATAAGAGCGGGTGCGCATGGGTAAAAATGTTCACATATCAAATGGGATCAACTTTTCTTGCTGTCATCTTCATAAACAAATCACTAAATTTATTTTTTTCTTAAGGAAAATAAAGTCGCAGCTTTTTTTCTCTACTGACTCATCCTCTTCTTTCCCCTCCTCCACACGCGCAATGCTTACTTCGCATGAGTAATCACCAGATGCAATGATTTATTTTCAATCACCCTCGCTAGTCCAATTCGGGGAGCGCAATGCTTACTTCGCATGGGTAATCACCAGATGCAATGATTTATTTTCAATCACCCTCGCTAGTCCAAATCGGGGGTGGAAATAGGCGTGGGGCAGTTAGGGCTTGAGCTTAATACCTAGCTCCATAATTCTCATTATAATCTTGAAAAATGTTATGTAATATATGAAAATATTTGAACTCCCATTAGCTCAGCTTTATGCATGAAGATTTTTTCTAATTCTGCCACTACTCCTAGCACTTATCCTTAATTATATAAAGAGTGAAGTACATATGTGGGTGGTCCTTAAATTTGTACGGAGATTTGTACGGAGTGTTATGAGATCCATAAACTCCCAAAATGCATTTTTGGGACTCCGAACTTGTCATGAGTGTCGTATAGATCCAAACAAGCTCCAACCTGCTTTGTGGGATGACGTGGCATGCCGCCATGATGCTTAAGTGTTAGTGGAATCCATATGTCAGTCACATAGAAAAAATAAAATTTAAAAAGAGAGGGGGAGAGAGAGAGAGAGGAGAAAAAGATGTTTTTAATTTTGAAAAATAAATGAAAAAAGAGTGGAGAAAAATATGTTCTTAAATTTTTCTATATGTGACCGACATATGGGTTCTACTGACACGTAGATATAACCATGGCATGCCACGTCAGCATACGGAGCGGGTTGGAGCCCGTTTGAACCTATATGATAGCCGAGACAAGTTAAAGGACCAAAAATATATTTTTTGAGAGTTTAGGGATCTACGTGACACACCCATATAAATTTAGAGACCGTCTATATACATTAATATTATATAAACCTAATACATTATAACATATAAGCATATATTACCTATCTTTAAAAAGGTACCGGAAATCTATGTGGTCACAGCCCATACGAGAGGATGCTGTGAACGCATGATCGAGGCCATCCAACGGTTGAACACGGAACTCGGAAAGGCCCAGCCTATAGTAGTAACTTGTAAGGATAGACAGCATGGGCCCAATCACCTCAAGCGACACATGTAAATTGGGCCACAATAGAGGCCCAAAGGAGATCTCGGATTTTGCAGTCCGACCAAGCTCGAATCCGTGATCTCAATTTTAGTGTGCAGAATTAGGCCGCTACCGTGATCAAAGTGGGAGTGATTTTGTACTAGTTTTAACAGATGGAGGAGTGATTATATCCGATTTTCCAATTGAGAGATATAAATCAGATTCGACCTGTATTTTGTTGTAAACCAACACGCCTATTAGCGGATCACCAGATCCGTTCCCTGTCCCTGCCACAGCAGTAGAGGCGTTAGATAATGTAGAACACCCGCGCCCATCCCTTTGCGCTCAAGAACATTGCAGAAGTAGACAATGAACACAGATATAGGGTGGAGCTCTCTCTTCATTATAGATCTCATCTGGAGTACAAGCCAACCATTAGCCATAGATGTTACACCCTACCCCTGTATATATAGGGGTCTTAGGAGGAGATAGACCTTATCTCTACTCCGGTTTGGATTGGCCCACAAGAAACTTATCTCCTAGTTATCTTAGGAGATAAACTTAACACAACACTCCCCCTTGGGCTAATCCGCGACTAACTCATGCCTCATCAAAACTCCTACCAAAACCTAGTGGGAAAAAGGCTAGGAGAAAGAGTACATAGTTATCGCTCATGCATTGCACGTTGTTGCCTCGTTAAAAACCTTATGTGAGGAACAACAGCTCCACTCACTCAAGGAAAAAGAGTATAACACTATGGACTAACCGGTCCATATTGTGGGTCATGTTCTAGGGTGCTCTCCCGTTGAACCTAGCAAACATCAAAGTCTTCTCATCCCAATTCTCCGGAAAATCTTCCGAGAACTAACAGTTGGGAGAGACTAGGTGATCAATCCTCTAGATTATCACTCAACTTGAATTGCTACTCACCTCACCTCGCCTCAGGAGTATGAGGTAGCCCACTTGTATTAGTGGTGTTGGTTTACCAAACCAATCTTTATATGATAGGACCTTAAAAATAGGTCTAAGTGATCATCATCGAGTCAATGCCCCGAGCATACTCTAAGACATTTCAATGTCTTGCAAATGACAATCAACACATAGCACATACTCCCCCTGATGACAACCTTTGTCACAGACCATGTTCCCATAGCATTAAACATCTCTCAGATGTATGCGTAGGCAAGAATCCTTCAGATCCTCAAACCATTAGTCTTAAAGACTTGTCTCATTTCACCGCTAAAATGAGAATAGGGAACATAGAGAGTAATGCATTCCATCACTATCATATACCACAATACCATATTGTTGTGCAACGCAATCTGTTTCATCCTTCAGAAGGATTATGGGGATAAATAAGTCACAACGGCACGCACCTCCTGGGCATGACTCCATCAAGAACTAGGTCTTGATCATTGCAACTTTCTTTGACAATGTCAACAACAATTGGGGATCCACAAGATCAACCACAAGCCTTCCAAAGACATGTTGTAATGATCAGAGTAACTAGCTAGTCTGAAAATTCAAGCACTGTGGGGGATAACACATAGCCAACAACACCAAGTATACCTTAGCAGGTATTAGAGGACACCACCGTTCCTACCATCGGGTAGAACAGATATCACGAGTGTACACACTCCAGTGATAATCGTGAAATGCACATGTGCCTACAGACCCTGTCTGTTTGATCTCATCAGGTTCCTCATTGCAATCTTATCGGGTCACAATTGGGTCATCATTCCTCCAAGGGATTACACAATTATTAGTGTGCTCAGACTTACTAATTATTTTGTATCTCAAAGGAAATTTCATCAATGAGGTCTCCCCCTCAGAGAAAATTCCATCAATGAGATTTTCTCCCAACAGGAGATGGTACTCTTACCGGAATACCTATTGGTACGAGATTTGCATGCTGCGATTTCACTATGGAGTCTATTCAAGACATCCATATGGATTTCCCAAATTTGTTAACTGCATATTTAATTTCATGCCATTTTGCCAATACCTTTATTTAGCGGAACGTTCAACTCATGTGGAAGAGGTCTCATCTAGGACCTACTTGAACCATCGCACATCACCACCTCATTATCTCAATAATGACCCATAAAAATCCGAACAACATTCGCGACTTTTACTTAGCGATTCGGTTCAGCCTCAATTGCATTTCCATTTGACCCGATTTGAGCATCGCATGCTCATGCCATGGACTTTTTCCGGATCCGGGTTCTCTCTAAGAGAATCATTAGCAAGAGGCGACATAGTGTCAACACATTTATTCCCACTCACACATTTAACCAGATCTTCATCATTTCCCAAAACGATCGATCCATGGTTGTTCCGTATTCCTAGCACCATAATATGCGTGCATTGCTAGGAATGTCGTCTCCATGACGAACATCATTATGAGGCATATCACCTTCCAAAGGTGAATTCTCCACCAGGAGAATCAGAGGAGTATACTCACATCCAGTGAGAACTCTTATGCTCTGACTAAGGCCTACGGATCGTGTTAGCAGGCGTCCCCGCACAACATGATCAAATGCCATAAGTCTTATGTGGATACGATATTATTCCCGGGTCTATCCACATTTACCACAATTGGGAGCATTACTCTTTTTAACAACTATCTAGTTGTTCCTCATATGATTTTGTTGGCAAAAACTCCGTGCACCAAGCAATAGGAGTATGAACTAAACATACAAGTTCAGCTCATTTAGTGAGTTCACTCAAAGAAATCTACAGGCATTCCAAAATGGGCAATTCTCTCCCCCTAATGCCGAGATATCTTACAATAGCATACTACCAATCCCCATATCGTGGCATAGGATTAAGGAATTTCACCTCGATCACAAATGTTCTCCCACGAATGTATGCTACGGTGGTGATATATTTGGGAAATATTTACGCACTTTAATAGGAGAGATTTTTCCATTATATGCAGTGAGCCTGGACATATACTAATACAGTGCCATGAATACTGTATTCTTCCTTCCTTCGAAGGGTTATCCTCAACCTCCTAGTTAGGATATACAGGTCTGCAAAAACCACCATTGCTACCAAATGTATATGCAACCAACATGCAAATACTTTAGCCAAATGCACTCTCCATGGATTAATGCTCACCTAGTGCCATTCAAACTCATAATCGATTCCGGATCGACGTGCATTAGACATTGCATGTTATATGCTTAAGAAGGCAACCTATGGT